ATGTGACTGTTTTACCACAAAATTAGAAGTAGGCAAGTCAGCTTTTTTATAAGCTTATTCTTACTTGCCAATGCTTTAGCACAAATCAGCTTTCCAAAGTATTTTGGAGCTAATGTTTAATCTTTATGAGCAATGTACAATGCATTATGTCATAACATGCTGACACACAGATCTACATCTGAGCACAGAGGGGGTGTCTTGAACAGACTAAGTCATCCCAGATGTAAGTTTCCTCTGGAAAACTTATTTAATACTTTCATTCTGCCAAAGGCCGCAACGATTTTGACTGCAATTCTCCTAGCTTGTTTCTTAACTCATTTAACAATGTCCAGAGATTTAGAAACGAGTGGGAATGTCATTACATCCAGATGTCTGGTTAGTCTTTCTATTTCTTTCTGTTGAATGTTGCCATCTACTGTGAAATAATGGAAGGACAAGCTTGTAAAAGCAAGGAAATATATTTTATTCCCTTATTGTTGTGAAATTATAGCAGTCACTTTCTGAGGCTTTTAAAATTTCTTTGATTTTCATTTATACAATTGTCTTAAAAATAGGGAAAAGTGAATATTTTTCAATATGAAAAACTGTTCACAGAGGAAAGGTTCTGTTTCAGAAAGGAATGGTTGTCTTGAAAACAGAATCTTTTCTAACCAACAGTGAAAAAATATGGAAATGAAGGCCCTTTTCTGCTCCCCCTTAGAGATGTCCTTTTAACTTTAAGGTAGCAGAATTATATTGCTGAAAAAAAAAAAATCAATCAAACGGAAGCGTTAAGAACATTTTGAAATACCAAATAGGAAAATCTTGGATATTCCTTTGTAAGAACCTGGCAGTCTTAAAACTTTAAGTAAAAGAAATCATGTAGTTTTGAAAGGAGAAGAGAGTTATGCTGACAGCTGAAAATCTGAACCTTAAAATATAATTGAACAGGGAGACATCTTACTGGTACAGAAGTACATATGTACACTTTCTACTTCTCTATATGTGTATACTATTCATATAACTGTATCATAGAATCATAGAATGCTTAAGGTTGGAAGGGACCTCTAGAGGTCATCTAGTCCAACCT